TAGGATCATATACATCACCTCTCCTACAACACTAACCCCAGATGAGTGTGGGAGAGCTACTGCTCTGTTACAGAGCTGTGTACAAGTTAGGATCAGTCTCGGGACGATGCCGAAGAGTTAAGGGAAACCTCACAGCCAGGCTGAGAGTCTTATAGGTCAATTAGAAACTGGACGAAAATTCAAGGGATTAGGAATATTTCAGCCTACAAGCAGCAGTGTGATGGGTCGTTTCAGATCCATCTCACACGACTCGATTGCAGGAAAGGGCAATCAACTAAGCTGAGTTAGGCGTGCTGGCAGGGAAGGGAGGGCTAAAGAGGATGAGTTTAAAAATGAAGATTTAATAAAATACACACAGTAAGTGGATCTGACAGAAGGCTGATAGAAAAAAGTTTTACATGCTCATTAAAAAGATAATTAAAACGGGCAGCACCTGTGGCTCAAAGGAGTAGGGTGCTGTCCCCATATGCCGGAGGTGGTGGGTTCAAACCCAGTCCCGGCCAAAAAATGAAAAACAAACAAACAAACAAAAAAACTAAAGATAATGAAAATAAAGAGAAAGCAAACAAGAAAAAACCTTTCACCCATAGTCCCACTACTCACCTCAACCTAAAATTCGTACTTTATGAAGCTATAAAAATACTAGAAAAGAATGCAGGGAAAACACTGTAAGAAACTGGCCTGGGAGAGTATTTTATGAGGAGGACCCCTTGGGCAATTGAAGCAACACCAAAAATACGTTACTGGGATATGATCAAACTAAAAAGCTTTTTGCACAGCCAAAAGCACAGTAAGTAAAGCAAACAGATAACCCTCAGAATGGGAGAAGATTTTTGCACTTTACGCTTCTGACAAAGGTCTGGTAACTAGAATCTATGGAGAACTCAAAATAATTTATAAGAAAAGAATAAATAGGCTCGGCGCCTGTGGCTCAAGCTGCTAAGGCGCCAGCCACATACACCTAAGGTGGCGAGTTCGAATCCCCAGCCCGGGCCCGCCAAACAACAATGATGGCTGCAACCAAAAAAAAAAAAAAAATGGCCAGGCGTTGTGGCGGGCGCCTGTAGTCCCAGCTACTTGGGAGGCTGAGGCAGGAGACTCGCTTGAGCCCAGGAGTTGGAGGTTGCTATGAGCTTGATGCCATGGCACTCTACCCAGGGGGATAGCTTGAGGCTTGTCTCAAAAAAAAAAGAAAATAAATAACCCCATTTCTATGTGGGTAAGACACTTGAACAGAAACTTCTCTGATGAACACAGATGCATGGCCTACAAACACATGAAAAAATGCTCATCATCCTTAATCATCAGAGAAATGCAAACCAAAACCACTCTGAGGTATCATCTAACTCCAGTAAGATTAGTCCACATCACAAAATCCCCAAACTACAGATGCTGGAATGGATGTGGAGAGAAGGGAACGCTTCTACACTGCTGGTGGGAATGCAAGCTAATACAACCTTTTTGAAAAGAAGTTTGGAGAACACTCAAGGAACTAGAAGTAGACCTACCATTTGATCCTGCAATTCTTCTCTTAGTTATATACCCAGATGATCAAAAATCATTTTACAACAAAGTCATTTGCACCAGAATGTTTATTGCAGCCCAATTCATAATAGCCAAGATAGGGAAACAGCCCAAGTGCCTATCAACCCATGAATGGATTAACAAACTGTGGTATATGTACACTATGGAATACTATGCAGCCAAAAAAGATGGAAACTTCACATCTTTTATGTTTACCTGGACGGATCTAAAACATATTCTTCTTAGTAAAGTATCTCAAGAATAGAAAAACAAGTATCCAATGTACTCAATACTCCTATGAAATCAATATATAATCACCTACACACTCATAAGAATGGCAAGTCCAGAAATTATAAGGGAAGAGGAGAGAGAGGGGAGGGGATGGGGGATATGGGAGGTGGGAGGGTATTTGGGGGACCTCACCTAATGTGCATGATGCAATGGTACATTCCAAAATTGTTAAGAAATGAGTATAATTGTGATGGATGTGTTACTTAGTTCAATGTAACCATTTCATACTGTATGTTGAAGCAGTATCCTGAACCCCATAAATGCATCAATGTACAAAGTTATGACTTAATAAAAAATAATTAAAAAAACAAAACAAAACAAAATTCATATTTTATTTCCTTCCAATCGTCTTTTCCCTATTTCATAGTTAGGGTGTTTTAACCATAATTATAATCATACACATAAATAATTTCATATAGTGCTTTTTACATCTAATGTTTCAAACATTTTCCCATATTATGTTATCTCTGCAAAAATTTTTATTGACCAATGTAACATCAAACAAATTATTCCAGAGTTTACTTAATAATGGACATTTGAGCCACTTTCTAAGTCTGATATTATGTGATTTCTTTTAAGGTTCTTGGTACATAGTAAGAAATCACCTTCCAAAGGCATTGAAAAAAAAATGTGTACTTTACTTAGTTCATGTGTTAACTGATTAGGGTGGTGGTGGGGGACTCAATGAGCTAAGGAATAGTAGGTAAAATTGTTCTTTTCAAAATGTGAAAACTGATTGACTCACGTTTGAACTTTATGCCGACCAATGATGAAAGAAACCTTCCGGCTCCATGGGTTCACAAAGCTGGACCAACTGGAATCCAATATGATGTAATCTCCATTTTGAGTACAAAATCTAATGGGAGAATGTTCAAAGGGAGGATGGCCTGCATACTTCAAGACTATATAAAATAATAAGACCAAAAATGAATTTACTCAACATAGATATTGATTAGAAATGTCCTTTTTAAGTCATTTATGTGAAAATTTACATTTAGAAAACGATCATTCTGGCAGTTTCAATACAATGTATAGATGGTTAAAGATTAGGCTCTACTGAGAAATGAAAATGAAAAACCAGAACAACTCAATGGCAGAAAAATTTCCTCCAATAAAGAAGTAGGTCCTTACCTTTCTGGTGTACAGCAATCATCAGAGAACGATCTTCTGGGTGCAAGTATGTTAGGATGGAGGTCCCGATCAGGTCCTGAGGTAGGTAACCCAGCAAAGGCACTGCTCTGGGACACACAAATCCAGCACACGCAGCGTGCTATACTCATCACATAATTTTTGTACTCTGTATACTTTTAAAAATTCTCATTTAATTCTAAATATGAAAAAACTTTATGCAGAAGGTATTTATCACAGCATTTATAAAGGCAGCAAACCATCTAGGTGCTCAGTACTGTGGGAAGATGGCCATGCAATCTTCCCTACGTGGTCGTCTGGCACAATGCAGTCTGCTAAGAGCCCCCCGAAGCAGACTCGTGGGCTCACTGCACGCTTATGAAACCAGAATCTCGGGAGGCAAGAGCAGGGATGTGTTATTTTCAGCAAGTTCCTCAGAGGATTCTGATGTCTTCCATTATGATGCCATTTTAAAAGTTTACAAAAGTCACATCATAATGCAGAAAAGATGCTGATGCTATTAAATGAATAAAGCAGCTTGCGAATGCATGCAGCATAATTAAAGGTACATAAGAACAGTGTCTCCTAAAAGGCAGTAAAAAATAGACAACTAGTACACAGAACCATCCTCAGGATACAAGTTCATAATAAACTTGAAATGGTAAGACAAAGCTGACTTAGAAAAAAAGGACTCCATAAACATTTTGTGTGTAGAAGTCCACAAATCTTCCTAATGCGACAGACTTAAGCTACTTTCAGAATTATCTTCAGGTGAATTTTCTTACTTTATACAGATTATACTATACAAAGTATCTCACCAATTACTGTTTGCTGTAAAGACCTTTTAAAAATCAAAATTAATCCTGATTGTAACTATGCCCAGATTTCTGATATTTTTGCTTTATACTTAAGTGTGATTAGGGTGCCTTAGTTCCCAGATTTTCAAATTTCATGAATAAGAAAAATTTTTAAATAAATATGGGGGAAAATGGAGGAATACAGATGTGGTGATGCTAATATTTACTTTTTCCAAATTAAGATTTTAAAAACAGCAATAAGCAATAACTATCTACTATAACTATCCTTTAAATAACAAAGACTATTTTAATATCAAAAAAGTAGGACAGATAAGTTCTAAAGAACGATCCTTTAAATAAAAAAAAAAAAAAAAAACCAACTGTACACATACACACACAAAAGGCCTATCCTTCCCCACCTCCCATTTCAGACTAACCAAAATTTCATTGTAAACTGATTCAAGATGCACTTCAAGTGGAAATAACACCGTAATAACTGCTGGCAGCAGAGACCTGGTCCCGCCTGAGCACATCCAGATGCTAACTGGCTTCTGGCTTCACTGTCCTCTGTAAAATGGAATAATTCTTGACCTATTTTAAGTCTATTGTTGTGAAATAGAATATGATCACTGATGATCACTTTATAACATGCAAGATATTTACATTAGAAATTCACACAACACAAATTTCTTTTTTTTTTTTTTTTTTTTGAGACAGAGCCTCAAGCTGTC